AAGAAATTAGGGGAATGGATTGTTGTTGTTAAGTGCTGTCGAGTTGGTTCTGACTCATAGCAACCCTATAAGGGGTTTCCAAGGAATGGCTGGAGAGTTTGAACTGTGAACCCTGTAGTTCAAACTAGCCTTGAGGTCAAGTGCTCATCCTACTGTGCTTATCCACCAGGAAGCCTCTGCAAAATTGACAAGAGAGGGAAAACCTCATTAAGTGGTTGGTTGCAGTTATGTGATTGTTAAGAACTATAACAAAGCATCTCATGCCAAGGATGTCATCAGAATATATTTCAAATGCAAGAAATGAGAAAATACAAGGGAGAAACAGTGACACCAGGGATGGAGGCAGAAACAATGATGTGGAGAGAAGGAGTGGCTGGGGACTCTGGACTCAGGGAGGGAGAGGGGCTGTGTGCTGACGGCCAGGGGGCAGGCATGTGGGGTGTGTACCCTTTGGGTGTTTAATGATGCATGCAAGGGACTGTAATCATGGCAATAAAACAAAATACGATAGGATGAATGTAAAGCTGGTGGCGTTCTTACATGTAAACTAACACATAACTCAAAAAAAAAAAAAAAAGGAGAAATGAGAAAACACAAAACTTGGTTCTCAAAAAATAAAATCTGTATCAAGGTGCTAGATAGCTAACTTAGAATCTGCCAAGACTGCAACAGACTGTAATGCTAACTGAATACCCTTATATTCACAGACTGAACTTGGGATAACCAACTCCTATTGCCCAAATGCAGTTTTCCTCATTTGTAGCTTCCATTTGCAGATGAGGCAGTTAGTTCTTTCTTGAGGTAGATATGCAGAAGAAAAGCAAACATTCAAAGTAATATAAATTTGATAAATTAAATACCTAAATACTTCAGAGCACTGTTCTCTATCTCAGCACAACTGATATTGTTTAACAGGTAATTCTTTGTGGTGGCAGCCTGTTTTGTGCATTTTCAGATGTTTATCATCATCCCTGTCGACACCAACTATGTGTCAGTAAATACCCTCGAGCTGCAGTCATGATAATCAATAATCATTCTATATTGTCCATACTGTCAAATGTCCCCCTACCCACTATTGAACAGATTCTGACTCATAGTAAGACTGTACATCTTTACAGAAGCGGCTGGTGAGTTTGAACTTTCGACCTTGTACTTAGCAATCCCAACTAACCCCTACACCACCAGGATGCCACAAATTCCCCAGGGTAGCAAAAGTATCCCTGGCTAAGAAACATTACTTTAGAGATAATGATGGTGGTGGTGGTGGTGGTATTCCGTGGAGTCGATTCTGACTCATAGCGACCTGTACAAGGTTTATGAGGCTGTAAATCTTTACAGGAGCAGAAAGCCTCATCCTATCTCCCGTGGGAACAGCCAGTAGTTTCGAACTGCAGACCTTGAAGTCAGCAGCCCAATTCGTAACCACTATACTACTTTATCATAAAATAAAGATATTATGATAGTACACAATTAGGATTATATAGTCTATAATTTTCTGAGAATACTCACAAACTCTGAATTTTAGTATCTTGCAGACTTTTAAATACTTGGCTTTCACAACTATTTCTATATTGTGCCTAGATATCTATATTGCTATAATCATATATTCTTCTTAAAAATTTGAGACTAAAAACTCAGATTACTGGCAGAGGTCTGTTTCTTCTATACCCTCACACAATTTATCCAAATTTATACTTCATTTCTCCATGAGAGACAGTTTTTAAGATTTTCATCTCAGCAATCTGAGTAAGTTAAGATGAATAGACTTCTGAACAAGAAAGCAAATCAAATACTCACATCGCCATAAACCAGACTAAGGAGAGGGAACACATTGAATATATAGCTTTTAGTTCCTAAAGAGAAAGTTTATATGTGATTTAAATGCTAAAAAACAACCAGTTCAATCCATTTTAAGTGAACTAAAATTCTGCAATCAACATGAACTGTCAGTAAGAGGCAGAAAAAAAGGTGGTGGGTTTCAGCAATTTGCTTGAGATTGCTGTTGTTGTTGTCAGGTGCCATAAAGCTAGCTCCAACTCACAGCAATCATATGCACAGCAGACTAAAACACTGGCTGGTCCTGCATCATTCTCACAATTGTTACCATTGAACCCAGTGCTGCTGCCACTGGGCCGATTCATCTCGTCATGGGGTCTTCTTTTTTAATGACTCTCCACTTTACCAAGAATAATGTCCTACTTCAGGGACTGGTGATAACATGTCCAAATTATGAGAGACAAATTCTTGCCATCCTGGCTTCTAAGGAGCATTGGCTATACTTCTTCCAACACACATTTGTTTGTTCTTCTGGCAGTCCACGGTACTTTTAATACTCTTCTCCAACATTGTAACTCAAATGCATCAATTATACAGACCTCCTTATTCACTGTCCAATTTCACATGCATATGAATCTATTGAAAATACCCATGGCTTGGGTCAGGTACCCCTTAGTCCTCAAACTGTATCTTTGTCTTAAACACTGTAATTCTGTGCAGCAGTTACACTACCAAAATTGAACAATAGTATAATTCTATGATAAACAAAATGTGATACATACACAATAGTGTATTACTCAGTCAATAGGAGAAACCAAGTCTTGAAACATGCTATTGTATGATGAATCTGGGAGCTCTGGTGGGGCTGTAGGATAAGCACTGGACATTACTAACCATTAGATAGGTAGTTAAATCCCAGCCACTCTACAAGAGAAAGATGAGGCTTTCTGTTCCTAGATTTACAGGCTAGAAAACCCTATACCGGGTCATCATGAGTCAAAACTAAATTGATGGCAATGAGTTTTGAAGATGTTATCCTGAACAAAATAAGTCACTCACAAAAGGACAAATATTATATAACCTCACTTATATGAAAAGACAAGAAAAGGCAAATGTATAGAGGACAAAGTATATTAGTAGGTATCAGGGACGGAAGGGAGGGGGGAAAAGAAGGCTAGAAGTAATAATGTTGATTATAGGTAAGGAGCTCTGGTAGTGTAGTGGTTACGAATCGGGCTGCGAACAACAAGGTCAGCAGTTCGAAACTACCAGCTGCTCCGCAGGATAAAGATGAGGCATTCTGCTCCCGAAAAGATTAACAGCCTCGGAAACCCTGTGCAGGATCGCTGAGTAGGAACCGACTCCACGGCACATAACAACAACAACAAAAGTAAGGTGGCACAGTCAATATTGTAATTGCTACAAATAAGCTACACATCTGTAAAAAGTTGCATTGGTAAAAGTTGTATAATAGATACAACAATGATGTTAAAAAAAAAAAAAAGGGTAGCTGCTGAGTTTGCTTATGTACAACCAAATACCTCATGGGATCTGGTTTCTTGATCTGGAGGCTACATGGCACATCACAGCTAACCAGCTTAATACCACGTTTAATGCTTCTGATCTACTTGCAAATTCGTTATATAGTGCCTGGGATCTTAAAGCTTGCAAGCAGCCATCAGCCACAACAATTGGCCAGGAGGAGGGGGAGGAGATCAGGGACAGGAGAAAGTTACAGAATGTGTTAAACAACTGCCTCCTTTGCCATGAGATCAGAAGAGCAGAATGGTGCCCAGCTATCATTACTGAACATTTTAATAAAAGATTCCTTAGAAGACTCCTGATCAAAAGCAATAAAACACAGAACAGAATTTCAAATTCTCATGAACTCTAAGCTTTCTGGAACCATAGTGGGTAGATGAACCCCTGAAATTATTGCCCTGAGATCATCTTTAAATCTTAAGCCAAAAATATCCCTGAATAAGTCATCTAAAAACGGAATTCTACCTACTAAAAGCTACTGCCACTGAGTCAATTCTGACTACTAGCAACCCTATAAGGCAGAGGAGAACTGCTCCTTTGGGTTTCCAAGACTATAAATCTTCTCAACAGCACATGAGTGCCAACTTTCTACCACAGAGGGGCTGATAGGTTCCAACTGCTGACCTTTAGTTAGTAGCTGAATGTGTAACCCACTACCATAGTTTAACTACTAAAAAAGGTCTGTCTTGAACACTTACGCCCTGTAAGCACTGTCTCTATGGAATATATGAACAGTGACTTCAGAGAGAAGACAGGGAACAGTGAGTTGATTTTAGTGGGAAAAGAACTACTCAGAAGACTGAGCGGGCACACAACTCGAAGAATGTAATCAGCTTCACTACACTGTACATGTAGAAACTTCTGAATTGCTAGATGATTTGCACTGTATATTTTCAACAACAACAAAAAATAAAATTAAAAAGGGAAATAAAAAAGTATTTTTTTCCTCCTGATACTTACTGTCTAATTTCTGTCCTTCTGTAAAAGTCTCTAAAGCAGCCACGTAGTTTTTTTCATGGTACTCAGAAATCCTGGCATGAAATATAAAAACACCACACATACATAAGATCATGGAAACTAAACTAATTTTTTTAATAAAAAATATTCTAGTATCCTCTGTTAAAGGAATTTTTTTAAAGTATATGTTAATAAACTAAGAGAGTGTCTAAAACACTGTACTATAGTATCTAGTACTACTATGTCCATTAAAATTCTACTTTGGAAGGAATTTCATGATCAATTTCTTGACTATCATTGCTTATGTTTGTGTATTCCAAAATATAATTACACTAAGACATTAACAAGATTTCTTAAAGAATATAGTGATACTTCATTCAACAGAAATAAGCCTAGATAGAGATAAAGTACACTGACAGGAAATTCTCATATCATAAAGGGCAGCCTATTCAGTTGGTAGCGTAGTGGTTACGAATCAAGCTGCCAATCTCATGGTCAGCAGTTCGAAACTCCCAGCTGTTCCGTGGGAGAAAGACGAGGCTTTCTGCTCCCATAAAGATTTAAAGCCTCAGAAACCCTGTACAGGGTTGCTATGAGTCGGAACCGACTCCAC